TGTACCGGTAGTTCGGAATAGGAATCCTAGTCCGAACTACCTAGTTCGAGCCCTGTGTAGCCGCGCTGCACGGGGTTCGAACCAGCGGGGCTTTAAAAATGGTGGCTCCCCACTTATGCAAATGAAGCCCGGGAAATTCAAATCCCGGGCTTCATTTGCAAGTGCGGTATGCCTACATTACCCTCCTAGTTCAAACTAGGAGGGTAGTGTAGACATACCCTATGTGCTTAGAATAGATGTGGTGTTCAGGCTAAGCACGCAAGGTGGGAAACAGTGTGGTCTAATGGTTAGGGCACAGCATTAGGAAGCAGGTTCTTTTCTGGGCTGTAGCCAGCAGTGACAGTAACTTAACATTTCTTACAGGTGCTGTCCTATTGCAACCCAGGTCCGTGCCAGCTCTTTAATCCGCAGCTCAGCCAGCTCTTGCTAGAGCTGCACTCCAGGACACACCCGCTCACTTTCACCTCTGGCTGTAGCAATGCCTGTCTTGTGACCTTTGACTAATCACTTGCCAGCTGGTTCTCCAAAGATCATCTGTTGCATTGATAAGCACGTCTGGGCAGGGACCGTGTCTGTTCAGCTCCTAATCCTGGTCTGTAGTGGCTACCCTCATAATAATGGGCTTGTGAGTAGGACACTAGCCTGGGACTTGGGAAACCTGCGTTCATTTCCCTGCCCTACCACGGACACACCATGTTACTTGGGGCAACTTGCTCTATATTTCTGTGCTTCAGCTCCCAGTCTATAAACCGCTTCCTTTTTCTATTTAGACTCTGAGCGCTTTGGGACCAGGCCTGTCTCTCAGTGTGTGTCTGTGTGGCACCCAGCACAATGCGACCTTGACCTCAGATGAGGCCTCTAAATCTGCTATATATTTGAGAGACTTTGTCTGTCTGTTCAAGAACTCCCATAACTGGTAAGATCTAGGACCACCAAACTTGGTATACAGCTTCCTCTTCTCATGACTTAAAGCAAGGTAAGGGTTTGGTTGTGCCAGGAAAATGGGTTTGCTCTCATAAAACCATATAGAAAAGAGACAGAGTCACCAGGCAGGTGAAATGCGCTGGCTAGGTACCCCTCCCTAGCCTTCCCCTCCACTGCCCAAGCCTCCCATCCCCCAGGCACTCTTTAGGGAGGGCAGAGGGGGCTGAAGTATGGGGACATTGCTGGCTGTTCCCTTTCATCATGGGGCGAGGGGAAAGTGCAGAGTTTGCTGCATTCCTCAATCTGGCTGGGGAGCACAAGGGGCAGATGAACTGGGACCTGCCCCAGCCAGAGGGACATGCACCCCTCCCCTGGCTGTGCCCGCTGGAACTGCAGCAGCCATGGAGAGGTGCTTCTCACCTGGCGCCAAGCTGCTGTAGTCCTCTCTCCCCAGGGCAGCCTGCATACTGAGCTCCTCATCCCCAGCCCCACCCCAGAGCAACGGTTTAAATGAAGCCTTGACATTTTTCATTTTATTTTCCAAAAAAAACCAAAAATGAAGTTAAAGACCCAAGCAGTGGTGGATAAATCTAGTGCGACCATAATATGAAAAATAACGATCAGTGCAGCTTTAGATTGAGGCCCTTGTGGTGACAGATGCAGGACAGACACACGGTGAGAGAGACATCTGGTGTCTGAGAGCTTGCAGTCTGTACGTCTCCCAGAAACCCATAGTTCCCACAAGGGATAACAGAGAGGTCCCCATGCTGGCAAGTGAGCGAGATACCTACCAGCCATAGAAGAAGAAGATGAAATAAGGCACTGAAACAGCTAGCTGCAACCAGCGCCAATCCGGGATGGCATAGGCCACCCCCGCCAGAAGAAACTGCCCAATGCTGTAGCTATATCCTATCACTATGCCAACTGTTGCTCGGAGTCTGGTGGGGGTCCACTCCACAGCTGGGTGGGGAGAGGAAAAGGGGGAAAGAAAGTCAAAGTCTAGAGAACACAAATCCCAGCTTTCAAAGCCACCAGGACACCAAAATCTACCCCAAGTGGAACTTAAGCAGGGCAGGGAGAATCATGGAATTCTTGTTTTAGTGGCATCTAAAAAAAAATCATTTTGGGTCAACCAGAAAATATATTTTTTTAATTGTTGGCAAATCAAAGAATTGGAAAAGGTTTCACTTTTGGTTAAATGAATTGTTTTGTTTTGAGCGCCCACATTTTTGTCATGCTTTGGAATGCAAAACAATGTAAAATGTGAGGACATTTTGAAATGAAAAGTGATTTTGAACACACACAAAAATTCAACTTTGTTCATGTTGAAAACGAATCAGAAAATGTGGCAGAACCAGCACAAATTTGCTAAATGTTTTATAGAAGAAAGTTTCAGCTAGAAATTATCACCCAGCTCTAAACGGAAGCTCTTTGCAAGAGGGACTGTCCCTCTAGTTCTGTGTGTTAACAGACTCTAGCACAATGGGATGCTGGTCCATGACTGGGATTTTTAGGCATGGCCATCATGCTGTTTAGATGACTGCCACTAGATAACTGAAACAATAGGACCTACAACCCAAAACAGGCACATGGCAAGGCAGGAGTAGCTACTGAGTCATGTGCCCATGCTGGTTCCTTGGGCAGCGATATAGCAAACTTAGGGCTGTAACATGGACTGGAGCAGCCAGTATTGCCCCAAAGAAATGCTCACCTCCATCATCCATTTCTCTTCCTAATGGAAGCATCCTGCAAGTCTGTCCACCCCCTGTCCCCCGAGCCCCTCAGCCTTGCTACTTGCTTGGCTCCATACTTACAGAGGGACACACAGTTGAGGCCGATCCCTGACTGAGCCATTCCAGTCAGGAAGCGGAAAATGCAGTACATGGTGAAGTTAGATGAGAAGGCTACACAGGAGCCAGTGATGGCGATTTGCAGATAGGACCAGATCAAGAGTGACTTCCGTCCAAACCTGTGTCAGAGAAAACAGGCGAGATGGGATTGTGGCTTGAGCACTGAGTTAGCACTCCGAGGGACCTGTATGACCCCATCCCTGTCGTAGGGCAGCACTACAATCCCCATTATACAGATGAGGAATCCAAATAGAGAATGACTAAATGACTTGCACATGGTAATATGGGAAGTCTGTGGTGGAGCAAATGTTTGAATCCAGGCTTTACCAAATTCTATGTGAGTGCCCTAACCACTGGGCCACTTTTCCGCTCTTCTTAGAGGCACTCGTGAAGACAGCTGAAAGCTGTTAGAATGAACCACTACCCCCAGTAATTCATCTGCACCCTACTGAGGCAAAGTGACAGCTGTCTTACTTGTCAGCAAGACTTCCAAACACAATTGCTCCCACCAGCACTCCCGCCATATAGATCGACTGAGCCATCTGTTTCAACGTCCGTGAGCCACACACCAGATCCCACTGCAAACGGGAGAAAAAGCACTTTCCCAGTGAGAAAGCACAAGGGAGACAAGTCCAGCAAAGTTGGTCATAATGAGAATGGGGGCCCCAAACTCAGATGAGGTGTCTGAAGAGTCTGGCAAAATGGGGCCCTGATCTTGGTCAGGGACTAGGCAGGACCCAACATGAGCAGTTTGGGGTGTCCAGATGCTACCACAATACTAGGCCAGATCTTTATCTGGTAGCTATCGGGGTAGCTCTGTTGAGTTCAATGAAACTATGCTGGTGGCCACCGGATAGCAATGTCGTTCAGCATAGTCACTAGCCAGTCCCTGCCAGTGGACTCTTTCTTACCTCGGTGATGATGGTGGAGGTGAAAACACTCCTGTCATAGATCCATCCATCCATACAGGGCTCAGTGTCCATTTTGGTCCCATTGGTGGTTGTGGTATTTGAGTCTAGGAGATGCCACTGGGTAGAGATGAATCGAAGACACTTCTCCGGCTGCTGGTTCCCGTCCATGGGGATGGAGATTCTGAGCAGCTCTTGGCAATGCAGGAAGTCAGTAAAGTTGTCCTCACAAGTGTGGTTAGGAACAATGGCAATATGGCAGTGGTGCCCAGGGGTCGCAGCTGTAAAGTTCTGTAGAATGTTGTGGCTGGCTGCCAGTAATAATGGCAGGGCCAGTAACGTAACATGGATAATTTGGAAACGGCCCATACTGCCAACCTGCTCCAAAAGTTCTGCAAAGGTCATGTTGCCCCACACCAGAAGACCCTTACACCTCAAATGTGCTTGTTTTGTGAATTAGATACACACCCAAAACAACGTGCAGATCTAAACAGAGGAATGCAGCTACTGTCTACTCACAGATAGGCACAGCTTTGGATTTGCTTACTCATCTGCCCCCAGTCTTGTCAGATGCAGCAACCTACTCTGGAAAGACAGAAAGAGTTGCGTTTGATCTAGCTATAGCTCAGAGTGAATTCCTACAGTCAAGTGGCAAATTTGGCTGCATTAAGTACTTGCTGATTAAATAAGCAGCTAATCAGAATATTGGTACAATTAAATCAGATGCAAAAATTCTAGGTCATTCCGTTCAAAACTAATCCACAGTCTTTTTTGGCTACTAGACCATTCCAAGTTGATTGTGAATCCCAGAAACTGGTTGGGAAAGTGTATCCTTTGCTGAGTGGAGCTCCATGTCAAAAAGTAGACTGGGGTTCTCTTGCACTTTTAGTTAATCTTTGGTTGGGGTCATTTGTTCCAGTTAGGCAAAGCTTTCCTGGGTTTGGAGGACTTACCACAAAAAGGAAACTATTTGAAGAGGCATTTAGGAGAGAAAATGTCAATGGAGAACCAGGTAAAATGTGCCCTTAAATCTGAGCTTTGCAACCCTGATATATTTTGCACTTGTTGTGTAAATGGACTAAATATTGGAATTCCAAATAGCTCAGTGGGAGTTTCTGTGTATCCATAGTGCAGAGTGGCAGAGAATAGATAGGGTGACCATTTTTCCATATGCTGAACATGGGACACAAAGTCACTTGTATTCACAGGGTCAGCCTTAGGATTTATGGGGCCCTATGCTGTACTGTTAAACTGGTGCGCATATGCCCGATGGCAGCCGGGGGAGGGGAGAAGATGATGTTTTTTCAGAGATGTGATTTTTATAATCTTCAGCAACACATTAAAGAAATATTTTTAAAACAAATTTTAAACTAAGGTCCTGTCGACTAACACAGTAAATTCAGAAACAGAGAGAATATACGTGCGGCTAGGAAATGCCCCTAAAATATCACTTGAATGGCTCTTTCACAGGTTCAGTGTGCTGCTAGATCCTTCCCGAGAAAGCAGAACCACAGAATGTGGAGAATGGGCACTGCCTTCCCAAACCACCAACCTGACCCCACCCGTACTCCGCCCCCAGAATGCCTACTGTAAGTGTTCTGGGAGCAGAGTGTGGGTGGGGTCAGGTTGGAGCATGGGAAGGACAGGGCTCCAGGGCAGGAAAGCTGGGGCCATACTCACTCCCTCTTCCCCATGCTCTGGGTTGGGCAGGCTGAGGCGTGTGCGTGCGTGTACCTGCCCTCTTCTCCCCCATGGTGGGGTGGGTGGGTGGGTGCTCAGCATGCTGCCCTGCCTCTCTGTGGTGGGCAGGGCTGAGGACTTACCCAGTAGTGCCCCAAAATTTCAGGTGCCCTATCCAGCTGCATATGGGTTAGAACAGCTCTGTGTATTCAAGCAAGTTTAACGGCAATCAAGCAGAACTCTGCAGTACAAATGTTCAAATTCACAGCAAGCTAACTGAGCCTCTGTTTAAAAACATACTGAGTAGCTGGAGCCATTTAGTGTGCCTGCTTATCTTTAAGGATTGCATGGGGAGAGGTGACACATGCAGACATTCCCAGACACCCCTCTCACATGGGGATGGGGGTGGCTGACCAACCTGACCCAACCCTGCATGCCTGCCTGGGCCTGGCACTGCATTTTCTTCAGGCACCATGTGGGTAGGATACAGAGGGTCACAAGCCCCTCCACAGGTTTCTGTCGGGTTTCATACCAGGAGGTGGCCAGCAGCAGCCTTTCAGCACTGTGCGGGAGGGAAGGGATGGGAGCTGCTTTCAGCTGAAGGGGCCGAGGATGGGGATGATCTGACGTGTTTTTCTAGAGATCATCTCTTCCTCCTGTCCGCTGTTCCCCTATGGCTAAAAGCAGCCTGTCCCTGCCTGCCCGCATTAAGGATGTTAGCATATAGCCATTTAAACAATTAACCGATGGCATGGTGGCTGCCCCGCTGCTCCCTCTCTGGCAGCAGCTCCAGAGCAGGGTTATCAGTTAATCCAAATGACTACACGCACTCCCCACCGTTTGCTGCCTCTGCTTCTAAGCTGGCATCCCATAAGCACTGGATCCCACAGAGCTGCCTGCCTCCCCCACTGCCGTGCTGCTGCCTCTAATAGAGAGGCAGCAGCGTGGAGGGTGAGGGGGGCAGATAGGAGCCGATATGTATGGAGAGCCAGCTTTTAAGCCGACTCTCCACATGTGCCAGCTCTGCCTGTCCCCACCATGCTGCCTCCTACAGAGGCAGCAGGGTTGGGAGGCAGGTGGGAGATGGTGCTCTGGGATTTAGGAGCCGGCTCCCCGTGGCAGTGGTTTTGCGGAGCTGCCTTCCCACCCCCATGCTGCTGCCTCTGTACCAGAGGCAGCAGCATGTGGTGGTGGTGGGGGAGCAGGTGATATGCCAGTGCAGCCTCTGTCCGTGGGAAGGTCGGGCCCCTGCAGACAGGAGCTGCTACCGCCCTGTGCTGCTGCCTCTGTCTCAGAAGCAGCAGTGTGGGGTGGCAGGCAGGAGCGCCTCTGTGTGGGGAGCTAAACCAGCTCCCCTTGCGAACCAGCTCCCACCTGCCACTCTGCACTGCTTCCTCTGAGGTTGGCCACTGACATAACCCAGCAGCCTCCTGTCCCCTCGCTACAGCACAGGCAGAAAGGAGTTAAGTCCTAAGGATGCAGTGAGCACCAAGAGCCAGGGAACCTGGCCAGTGAGGTGGCTCCTCAGGGGAGGGTGCCTAGAGGACAGAGAAGCCCTGCACTCCCTGGGGCAGGACCTATGGCAGGGGTCAGCATGTGAAGAGGGGGCTAAGTGCCTCTGCTTGGGAACCTGCAGGATTGGGGTGTGAACCAGCTGGAAGTAGCTTCCTCCCCACCAGTCCAGAGCTTAGCTATGGGGCAGAGAAGCTCCCCCCACCAGTGCTGTGTGGGGATTTTGTCCATGCAGGGCTTGGCTGCTCCTGGACAACATCCCAGGCCAGAGGGTCTTGAGCTTTCCAGGGCTGCCAGCTCAGCCAGAGGCTGTGAGGGGAGGAAGGAGCCTGCCAGCTGGGATGTTGATGAGCTGAATGATAGGACCAGGGCTGTGAGTGGGATGAAGGAGCAGTGGGGCTAGGGGGAAGAATGGGCACAGCAGGGAGAGGACAGTGAGAGGGGAAGCATGTAAAGGGCCAATGAGTGGGCAGCAGGTGACACTTAACCAGCCAGCACCTGCCTACACTCACCAGCAATGTTCCCTCTAATGTTTCCCATCTGTGTGCAGAATAACTTTTGTTATGTGCACTGAGGCATGGACAAATATGCACCACCAGTAGCAACATAGTGCTGGTTGTGGACAAGCTGGGCACTCTGCTAATCAGTTGGGCAGCACCTGAATCTCTCCTGGGTGACTGCCCAAGTGCTCCGCTTACCGTGAACACTGCTCACCAGTCACTGCATGCATTCCGGTATACCCCACAAGGGCAGGGGGGAATGGGGAAGCCTGCTGGCTTAGAGCTGGCACCCAGCAGGGATGCACTGATTGACCAGCACCAGGAGCTCCCAGCCCCCTGTGCTGCAGCTTTGCCTGACCCCCACTCCCAACTCTATCATCAGCCGCTGGAGCCCTCAGTCGCTGCTGGTGGGTGGGCAGCTGGTGAGCAAGGATCCAGCCAGAAGTAGGACCCACCCGCACTGATGGGAAGGGAGAGACAGAAAATACGGGGCAATTTGCCCATTTTAAAAAAATAGGGACACCTTCAGGAGGGCTTAAATACAGGACTTCCCTTTAAAAGCAGGACATCAGATCCCCCTAGGTACAGAACTGAGCTGTTAATGAGAGGCATGGGGCTATGCTGATTTACACCACCTGGCCTATTCACACAGGTATAAATCTGAAGTCAGTTGAAGACAATTCAATGAGCATTATGCTCAGCAGGTTTCAATCAACATAGCTCAACTAACTTCAATGCTGCTTTACTCCAGCTAAGGCTGTGACTCACAGACATCAGTGTAAATCTGGAATCACTGCATTTCAAGCCCATATTTAATCGGGGCGAGTCAGTGAGCCAGATCCTCCGCTAGTGTAAACAGGCCCCTATCTACAATAGAGCTGATAATCTGGTCCCATACAATTAAAATAGACTTACCTGCTTCCTATTTTGCTATCAAGCAATGTCTTTAATAGGCTACAGCTGCATTTCTCTGTGGGTCATATGGATCGTGCTCTCTCACCAAGCAAATTGTCTAGAAATCTTTCCAGATTAGTGGAGATCCGGCTATGACAGCAACACACTGAAGACAGAGGAGGTGGGACTCATTAGAGCTTGCAACCTCTTTGCCCTTTCTTCAACTACGGCATCAAAAGCCCAGCATGCAAACCCCAACTGCCCCTTTAATGGCCCAGTGAGGAGAACCCCTACTTAGCAAATTAATAAACAAGAGCTAACATGATCCCACCATGCAGCCAGGACCTGGAGCGGAACATTGTGACTGGGGAATATAAACATGGTGCCTCCCTGAAGCTCCTGGTATGAGAACGAAAATGAGCCAGAAGAACAGATGTGGGCTGAACCATCTCGCGCCAGGGGCTTGTTTCAGAACAAGAAGAAATTAGAAACCTTCTAACAAGGCAAAACAGGTTTCCTGTGAGCTAACACTGGACTAATGCTGGAGATGGTTGCTTAGTTGTCCAGAGCACTGCCCAGGGATTCAGGATTCTGCTTGTAGCTCTGGTCTACTGGGTGACTTGGGCAAGTCATTTCATCTTGCCATGCCTCAGTTTCCCCATCAGCAAAAAGGGCACAATTATACTCCTCTTCCCATTAGACCTGCTTACAAATGTTCTAGGTGCTGGCTTTCTCTTCCTGATGCACAGTGGCTTTTTTGACAAAACGAAAATTTTCACTAAACCTTTTCATATTTTAAAGGGGAAAAATCTCCATTGCGATGGGAAAGTTATGGAGAGAGAAATAGATACACACGAAATGATGCTGCAGGGTTAATGGATTGGAAAGCAGGTGCCGTACATTCACCCTTTCCCAGTGCAAATGGAGAATGAATATAAATGGTGCTGGCCAGGAAACAGAAGAGATTTTCACACCAGAGCAGGCTGCTGACATGAAAATAATGAGAGGGCAAGACATGCCAGCAGTCTCTGTAGTATTGCCAGCATGTGAGGGTCCTGCCAGGACCCACTCAGCTCATGCTAGCCACTGAGGCATCCACCGGCTGTTGAAGCTGGTTGCTTGCATAAACTGAACATCCCAGTGAAGAGCCAGAACCTTGGCTGCTATAATCTGGAATCACTCCCTTGAAGTTGAGGAGTGATTATACCCACTGGGGACCTGGCCCCATCAACTCTAATGGAGATATAACCGACGTAAACCAGCTGGGGACCTGGCTCATGTAGCTTGTATGTCCCGGGGCCACTTTGTCCTATTTCATTCTCCTTTTCTCTTTTTCCCACTGGGCCATATTCAGAGATGCCGTAAGTTACAAAAGTTTCTCTTTCCTGGTAGTGCAGAAGTTGCATCCAATGTATGTGACGGGGGACAATAAGTTGTCTGCTCTAATGGTGAGAGCAGGGAGGCTGGTAGGAAGGACTCCTGGGTTCTGTTCCAGGCTCTCACTGTGGAGTCTAGATATTGAAGCAGAGTGGTGATGTGGGCTGGGATTTAAGACTCCGGAGTTCTAGTCTCAGCTCTAGATGGGAAAGCGGAGTCTAGTGGTTAGAGCAGGAGGCTAGCAACTAGAACCTTTGGGTTATTTTCCCATCTGTGTCATGGATTCACCCTTAGATCTTGCTGTAAATAACTTTTTGCCTCATCCATGAAAATAGGGAGATGGTAATCCGGACCTTTTTGTGAAGTGCCTTGTGAGCCTTTGGTAAGGAGAGCTGTATCTTGGCAAGTTACTATTTAAATAGGAGCTTTTCCTTTACTCTTGTCTCCTGCAGTCCAAGTTGCAATAACCAAAACCGAGATCCCTTTTCAGAACACGAGATTGGGCTTCTGAAATGGTACAGCGTCTTCACTGCAAGAAAATATATTAAACCGCAACATAAACTCCTTTATTTTGCTCAGGATTTTACAATAATATGCCATTGCTACAATAAATAGATCATTTCCTGCATTTTTGAATCTTTTGTTAAAAACTTGTACTTTTTTCACATATTGTCCCTTTACCTCCATTTTTGGTTAAGCATATAAGCTTACTTATGGGCAGGGTTAAATCTAGTTGAAGCTGGTTTAAGTAATAACTGTCCTTCATTCTAGATAAGCTGTAAAAAACAAGGGAGCTCCTTTATGGAACCAGCTAGTTGAAACAATAACCCCCTCCTCCCCAACACAGATATATGACAAGGCATGAGTAGAAGCTGAATCAAATGGCCCTAGAAGTTTCTCTGGAAATTGATACAACAAATGTAGAGACTAGGGCATTATTTAGGGAACCGTGTCTGCATGGGAGAGAGAAGCAGCAGGCACAGAAACAATGGTTGTAGCACTCAGAGGGAAAGCTAAGAGAGTGGGAGCTTTTGGGTTAAGTGTTAGTTGGAAGAGGCTTGGAACTGTGAGCAAGAAACTGCCTCCTGTGGTTTGAGTCCTGCTGTATTCTGGGAAACAGGACTTACTGCGTATGTAAAAAATAAGCAGGCTTGCATAAAAGAAATACCTGACCCCATAAATTGCTCCTCCTCGTGGAAACAACTTGCAGGATCGCAGAAATTGCCTAACAGCTTATTAACAAGCAGCTTCAAGTCCTTGTAGAAAAGCAAATTTACGTTCACAGAATCCTACATGGGTCAGATCCTCAGCTGGTGTAAGCCAGTGCACCTCCATTGGCTGCAACAGAGCTGTGATAATTTGCACCAGTTAAGAATCTGGGGCACAGACGTTGGAGTTGGAACATACTGAGTCAGCTCTCTGCTGGTGCAAGATGTGGTGTGCCAATTATTAATTATTTGTATTATGTGATCACTATTGAACAGCTGAAATTGGAACTGCATCTGCATTGTGCTATGCAAACTAATCCATAGAAAGAGGCAGTAACTTGATTACTCTGTGCCTAAGTTTCCCTGTCTATAAATTGGAGATACTTCCCTTGCCTATTTACTTTGCATGGTGTTTGGGAAACAGACTGTCGCTCACTAGCTGTTTGTGCAGCACCTTTCACAATGGGGCCCTGATCTCAGCGGAGCCCCCCATAGTGCTAGCAAAGCAAGGATGCCTTATGAAATAGAAGAAGGTGTTTACAATTGTGCAGAGTTGGAGAAATGAATGGTTAATAGGGTACAATGAGATGTAGTCATTTAATGAGGATCAGCAAATCACTGTGCAGGAATGTCAGTGCTGGGAAGTTTGAGATGTGCCTGATTTTTCCCCATGTGCATCTATTAGGGATGGTAGTGTAACGCTGAATAAATGATTAACTGATACGTCTATGCTTATCAATTAATCCTGTCTGCTATATCCAGGGGAGGATATAGGGCAGGGCGAGTGGGGCGGCCGACCTGGGCCCCGCGCTTCAAGAAGCCCCGCGCATGCGCCGTGGCGCCACTGCGCATGCGCGGTGTCAAAGGGGGAGCCCCATGAAATTGTGCTGCCCTGGGCCCTGCAAAATCGTCATCTGCCCCTGGCTATATCCCCCCTTTCTGCTTCTGTATCAGAGGCAGCAAGGTGGGAAGCAGAAGCTGGTGCCTGTGAGGAGCTGGTTTTAAGCAGGCTCCCCACAAGCACTGGATCTACCTCCTCCCCAACCCCCGCACTACTGCCTCTGATAGAGAGGCAGCAGTGTGGAGGGTGAGGGGGGGGGCAAGTAGGAGCCAATACATGCGGGGAGCCGGCTTTCCAGCCAGCTCTTTGCACCTGTTAGCTCCCGCAAACCCACCTGCCCCCCCTTGCTGCCTCCTACGGAGCCAGGTCCCCGTAGTCCCTGCAGCATCAGCTCCATGGTGCCACCACCTGCCTCTCCCTCCCATGCTGCTGCCTCTACCAGAGGCAGCAACATGGGGGGCAGGAGGGCAGAGGAGACCACCCCAAAGGAGCCTCTGGTCACAGGGGTCTGAGCTCCCCACAGACAAAGGCTGCTCTGCTCAGCTCAGCCTCCCCTCCCCCCATGGACAGGGGCTGCTGCCACCCTATGCTGCTGCCTCTGTATCAGAGGCAGCAGCACAGGGCAGCGGGCAGCTGGTCCACAAGGGGAGCTGGTTTTTAAACTGGCTCCCCTCCCACACCATCTACTGCCTGGCACCCCACATTGCTGCCTCTGATAGAGAGGCAGCAGCGTAGGATGGCAAAGGGCTCACTGGGAGTGAGTCTGGGAGCTCACTGGCTGTTGGCCCTGCCCCCAGGGACTATCAAATAATTGTGTAACCGATAATATTTTATGCAGTTACACGACTATTCAGCTACATCATATCTAACATCCCTAGCATCTATTCTGTTTTCTCCTTTGCTGTACCTAGGTGCGGAGTATTGTCTGGCAAGTTAGAGCTGAGAGCTAAGACTCCTGAATTGTCTGCTGGAAGGAGAATGGGGTCAGGACTCCTGGGTCTGTTCCTGGCTCTGGGAGGGAATAGGGTCTAATGGTTAAAGTGGAGTGCGTGTGTGGCACTGGGACTCCTGGGTTCTCTAATGATGCCACAAGCTTTGCTGTGTGAGGTAAAGCAGGTTGCTTTACCTATTTGTGCTTCAGGTCATTGTCACTATCCCGGCCCTATCCTATGAAATAATACACTAGATTTTCAACTGGTGTAAATCAGCAGAGCTCCGTTGAATCCAGCTAGGGTCCAGTCTTTGACTGGTGAGCAATGGGGCCTTTTCAAAGCAGTGTTGAATAACAAAACCTCTTAAAATGTGCATACCATACTCAGACCGTCTATGAATGATGCCAGATCACTAGCCAGGCCCCGTTCCATATACTCAGTGGATGGTTTGACTATACAGGCAATGTCAGACCATGAATGACCCATATTTGCAAGGTTGCTGGGCAGCATATGTTGGATTCTTGCAATTAGCTATGTGGGATGCTGAACTATAGAGAGATGCTATGCAGAGCAATTGGGACATGCTCTCCCTTTTCTTTCTAGCTAGTCACACTGTGTAAATACTTCCAGAAGGAATAGAATAGTAAAAGACATAACAGCTAAAAAAGGTGCTTCATTTTCCCTCCTTGCTCACTTCTTTGGCTGGATCTAGCTATGTGGAATTTAGGAGAACATTCATTTGCACTTCATCCTCAATCATCTGTCTTGATCTTAATAAAAAGAAGAAAATAAATAAATATCAATGTTTGCAGAGTCATCAAGAGAAGTAATT